CCCACCCTCAAAGGCCCCTCACCCCCCACGGCCTGGGGAAGGGAGGAGCAGGGGAGCAATCTCGTGGCCTCACCAAGGACCCGCTCTCAGCCTCAGTTTCCCTGTTGGTCCCTGTGGCCACACAGTCCCCCTCCTTGTCCCTGCACTGGCTTTTGTCAGGGGTGTGCCTGTCTGACATGGACCCTGTGCCTCGGCAGTGACCCCCACTGCCCCTGCCTGTCCTTCACTGGGGCCATCTCTGAGCGCCCAGTCCCAGAGCCCCATCCTGCTCCTGCTCCTACAGTCCACACCCAGCTCCCACCCCTGCCTACTGGCTCTGCCCGTGTGCCCACAGGAAGCTAGGGGTAGGGCTCAGGGTTTGGGGGGGTCCTGGTCCAGATTTCAGCCGACAAGGCGGGGGTGACATTTGGATAGCACCAGTGACATCATCACCACCAGCTTTCCCCACTGACGGAGGGTAGGGCATGGCTTGGAGTGGCACTCGGTGACCAATCGGGAAAGGGTGTGGGCCCCTGGGAGCTTATCCCCTGGTTTGCCATTAGCCTCAACCTCACAGAGCCCCTGGTGACTGCACACCCCCAAACACGGAAACCTAGGGGCATCGGTTATGGGATGGGCAGCTCACCGCGAGGTTCAGCAGTTTAAAACTACCGGCTGCTTCAAGGGACAAAGACGAGGCTTCCTACTCCCGTAAAGAGTTACAGCCTCAGAAGCCCACAGGGGCAGTTGTACCCTGTCCTACAGGGTCACTCTGAGTCGGTCAACCCCATGGCGGTGACTTTGAGTCTGCCTCAAGGTGCCTGCGAAGCAGGGTCGGACAACCTGTCTCAGAAGTGGCTTCTATCCCTGCTGGAGCGCAGCCCGTCCTGATGCACATGGGGCTGGCGCTTTACCAATGGCCAAACCACAGACCCGCCTGCCTGTCACTCCCTCGTCCATCTGCAGGGTTGGTCCCTGTGGAGCTGGGCATGGTGGGACCCTAACCCCTGGCTACCGTCTGAGGTTCTAGGAAGGACAGGCTGGGAGCCCATAGCTAGGTCCTCTGTCCTGAGGCAGGTGGGTACCCAGGCCCACTCTCGGGTGGGTGGGATGGCAGCGCCCCTCCCTGCCAGTGCCCCTCCCCCCTCTGGCCTGGGTCTAAATATAGCCTGGAACAAGGGCAGTGGCAGGGATCTAGGGAAGGCGAGAGGGGACAGCATGGTCCAAGGCCCAGGCTATGAGCCAGAGGGGTCACTGTGACCTGCGTCCAAGTCTGAGTCTGTCTGTCCATTGCTCCCTGCACCCCCGCCCATCAGTTAGTGGGGTGTCTCAGGCTTTCTATGGCTGTGGGAGAGGTCTGGCTCAGCCTTGCTGGGGAGCATGTCTGAGCGGGGAGACAGCCCTGTCCTGAGGCCAATGTCAGGGTCAGCAGGCCAGGCCTGCATCTGGGCAGATGACCTGGCTCTTTTCTGTCAGGCATGCTAGTTCCTGGCTGAGGGGTAGCAGATCCCACGGTCTGGAGCCAGATGGACAGAACCCCATGGACTGGGGGCCAGTGCTGTACTCTGGGAGTGCCCAGCTCAGGCTGGGGAGGGTCTGGAAATTGTCCATGGGCCCAGGGCCTCCTCTGCCTGCCCACATGTGGGCCCTGTCCTGGGATTGGTGCCGGGGGCACAACAAGGCACTTGAGCCTACTTGTGGGGTGGCGTGGGGGCAGTGGGCTTGGTGAACAGAGATAGCCGCAGGGCAGTACTGGAGCCGGGCAGGGACTGCCCAAACCTGGTGTTACGTCTGAACAGACCCCTGACCTTAATGTCTTGGAGCCTCAGGTTCCTCATCTGTACAATGGGCAGAACGAGTGACCGCTTTTGTGGGATGGGTGGCCAGTCACAGTGTTCAGGCCATGGTGCCTTTTATGAGAGGACAGGGCACACACCAGGCTGAGGGCACAGAGTGAGGCAGGGCGGGGGTTCTGAGGAGGGCACAATACTGGGAGGGCCCTGAGGGACTTTGGTAGGTGGGGGCATGGGAGATAAGCCTCTGGGGTCAATGACACCGTGTAGGCATAGGTGAGAAGGAGGAAGGGCAAGAGGTATGTGGAGACCCTGGCCAGATTTGCAAGGTGGACACTGATTGACACCCACCCAAGGTGGGTTCTGGTCCTGGGAAGGGACAAGGGGACCTTGCCCTCCTCCTGGTTCCTGGCTTCACGGGGTCCTTGTCTTCCCGTCTTGGCCCCATCTGTCATAGAAGGAACCACCTTGGTCTCCTGTGTGTACAGCAAACAGGCTGACCAGACGTCTCCAAGGACAAGGGCACACCTGTGCCTCCTGGGGCAGCTTTGGCTGCCTTTGTACCTCTGGACCATCAGATCCTCTGGACTGTTCCAGAGAGGTCTTCCAGGGAGTGGGTCAGAGTAGGGACAAGCCCAGGTTGAAAGCTTCCTCAGGAGAGGGGGTCCCTTGCAAGACCCCCAAGCAGGACAAGTTGGCCTCCCCGCATCATCTGTGGGATCAAGTCCTCCTGAGACTGAGCTCTGGGTGTCCAAATCTCTGAAGTGCCTGTTCCTCTTCTCCCCATAGTATAGCCCGGCCAATTGCTAGCAACCCTGGGACCTCTCCACTCTCGGAGTGACCGAGCCAGTCCCGCAAGTTTCATGTGCCTCCTAAGAGACCAGCTGAGAGAGCAGAACCCAGTCCTGGGAATGCCACTTCCAACACCCGGAGCCAGCCCTGCCTGAAGCAGACTTCTGGAACACAGGAAGGGCATTTACCTAGAGCCCTGGTGCAGCAGCTAAAGCCCTCCATTGCCAACTGAGTGGC